TGGGAAAAATGCTGGGCTAGGGACGCGCGACTAGAAATCGCCTGCCGCAGGGACGATAAAAAAGATGCAAATATGAAAGGCAAATGAAATCCTTTTAATTTGCCAAATAAAAGTGACTGGGAGCGCGCACTGCCGACGACTGGGCGAGCACCCAAGTGAGCGAGTGAGTGAAGGGGAGTGGTCCTTTATGCGCGAAAGCCGACGTACAAATTAGCATGACCAAAAGGATGGGCAAGACAAGTAAAGAATGAAATGGCTGCCGAATGGCGGCTTAACTTCTGTCCTTGAATTGCAAACTGTGAACAGAGGCAGAACTGAAAGAAGTAATATCCTCGTACATGTATGCATTTAAGGCAGAACACGCCAGTATAGTAATGTTACTTTGCCTTGAATCCATATACAAGTATGTACGGATAGGTGATAGTTCCGAAATTTTCTCTGTGGTGCGTGGGCACAAACATGAAATTTGCACGATTGCTGTGCGATTTCGAGAAATAATTATACTCTGTACATAAAAAAAGAGTAATACTCTTAGAGTTTATTAGGTTTGCGGGAGCACAAAATGTAACTGGCAAAAGGAGGCGTGGCAGACCCCACAAAGTATATATTATTGATCAGCATGACGAGACGAGTCGATCTAGCCCTGTCTGTCTGTCCGTCTGTTAGTCTGTCCGTCTGTCCGTCCGTATGAACACCTGGATCTCAGAGACTACACATACACTCACATAGACGCAATTGCTTTATATATGTGCAATTATACACCCTTTACGTGAGTTCGATTACCGAGAGAGGTAAAATCGACCAAACATGTTTTTTAAATTTCTTAACTTTTTGTAATTTCTATAATTATTCTAAACATACATATGTACAGAGTATTTCAAAGTCGGGACCCCTGACTTTAGCTTTTTTACTTGTTTTGTTATATGCATATAGGCTTCGCCTTTACGATCATACAAAACCGCATTCAATCAATTCGATCAATAATTACAAATATACCCACATAAAATAATCCAGTAGCCTACAATTTTAGAAAAGAAAAATTATCCCTCTTTATAAAAACCTCTGGCATACACTGGCACAACCTACAACATCGACATAACATTCAGATGTTATTATGGGAAATGTATTCACTTAAAAGAAGAGGAGTGAATTGTTTTGCTTTCATGCATTTTGCTTTTAATGCGCTTTGAAGAGAAATTGTGGTTTTTAAAATAAAGAGTCTTGAAATGCAAATTTAAGATCATTACATTCTTTGTCGCAACATTGTAAAGCAAGTGGGATGGAATCGAAATGTTATAATTTAACAAATATATTTCAGTAAATTATAACATAAATTTGTCTTAAGCATGGCAAAGCGAGTGAGAGGAAAGAGAAAAAAATCTGCTCAGACTTCAATTAATTACACTTGCTGTTTGGTGCGCAAAAGTTCTGGCGGCGGAAGATTGGCCGCTTTGGTCGCTTTAGCAACCCGGACTTGGGGAGGAGGGACAGGGAATAGACACGAATAGGGACATAAGAGCGCGCCACTCGGCGCAACGGAAGCGCACTTGTAATGTCATCGCCAGTTCCAAGCACACACACTCACTGGCGACATATCATTAACTTGGCTTTATAATACAACAACAGCGTCAGCAGCAACAACAAAAACAGCACACCATAAGAGGGCAAGGAAAAATTCAAAGCAGCTGAAACAGCCAGTGTCGCAAAAGATGAAGTGAAATACGAAAAGAAATAACTCATCGCATGTGGTCTGGGTTGGGTTTTGGGGCTCGAATTCGGGGGGAGGAAGATGTACGTATTTGTGAGTGGAGAGCAGAAGTCCCTCCGTCTGAAGGAGCGCCAGCTGTGGGTTGACGCAACGCCTACACGACAACGACACCGACAGCCCCCAAATATTCATAACTCAAATCGCTTGCCAGACAAGCAGAAGCCTTCAAGTTTTCCAGATATGAATGTCTCCGTATCTCCAGTGAGTGTATATGTAAATATGGCTGTGTGTGTTCGCCTGTTACACACTCAAGAGAGGCCCGTAATTTACCGGGACCACAGTGGTGCCCACAGCTAAGTCCTAATTATATCTTAAAATAACTGACTTTTCGTGTTCCCCTAATAAATCTGACTTGACAAGAAATTACAAAACTCCAAACAAAATGTGAATCGAAATTGTCCTGCATTACCAAAATATTCAGTACAGTTAAATATATATTTTAGAAATTCACTCAAAGTCAAAAACGTCGCTGATATTTTTACAAGAGTTTTCCTCCATAAAACATTGCATGTTCTATCTAAAATATTTTAAATATTTCGAGATTCGAACCAAATGTATGTATCTCCGTTTGCTTCACACGTAATGAATACTTTATTTTGATAGCTATATATAGGAAAACAGAACAAAGAGGAACTTTCCTTTTATTAAACAAGTACATATGTACGTTAACTTCGGGACCCGAAAAACACCTTTTATTTTGTATACCCTTCTAACTGTAAATCATCGAGTGTAATATCTAAACGATTTGGTACACCTTTATAAATATACATAACATCGTATGTGGATCTAAAACCCTTATTTCAAGAACACTCTGTTTCAGTAGTATTTGTTCCATAGCCACAACCCGTAAAATCTTCACTAAAAAATTATTCTCCCCCGCCCAATTTATATAAAATTTCTTAAAAACAAAATATTTTTCAGATAAGGCATTTCAAATATCAAATGTTTCTATAACAGCTATAAGATATTGTCCGATTTATTAATTATTGTTATTTTCATGTATTTACCGATAATAAGGCCGTCCATATACAAGTAAGCAAAATAAGATGAAGACAACTGATAACCTAATACGATCGAAAAATGCTTCAAAATTAGGATAATATTTAATAACGAATCCAGCTCGAATCTGACTAATCCAATAATCTTTATTGATTAACCGATTTCAAATAGATATTAAAAATAGAATTTATGATTATTTTAAATTTCGAATAGTGTTGAAGCATTTGTGTATGTCGTAGGGGGTTTTCCCCTGAAACACAGTCGTGTTGTCTAAAGATAAGGAACTCTTCAAGTGTTATCAATCTGGTAGTGGTTAGGGATTAATAATTTCTTTGGACCAATATTTAATGAACCCAAGTAAAGCCACAGCGTTGTTTGCAAAAATTGAGATGTAAAGATTGAAGCTGCATGCAGTTCAGAATGGTCTGAATAACAGTTACGATCACATCATCGACAGACAGATATATGTACATAAGTACGCGAGAATATAATAAAGTGCCAATGAAACTAGAAGTTGCATGAGCAGCTATTCGCCCAAAAGCTGACTTCTATTCTTAAAATATGAGCAAATACAATCCAATCCTGAAATCAGTGAATATTCAAAACCATCAAGCTTAACGAAAAGCAGGTACTGATTCACAGAATCAAATGCTTTGATCAAGTATTTATAACCCCAGCCGTTGCATCATTTACCATTAAATTTCAGAGCTCTTTTCGGGGCAGTACCACGGTGCAGGTCTAAAACCTTACACTCCACATCCCCGAACCCGTCAACGCTGTCTTGGACTTGTCTCCACCACAACGCCAATGCACATAATTCGCTTTTAATTTTTGGTTTCACGCCATGTGGGGTGTGTGCGTGAGTGCTTGTGTGTGTGAAGTGCTGGAGATGCGTCTGGCAAAGAGCTGCGACAGCAGAAAAAAATCGTCGGAAAATCGAGAAAAACCGAATATACAGCAAAAATTTGTTAAACACGCGCTCGCTCGTGCTCAAGTGAAAAGTAAAGTGCGTGTGAAAGGCAAAGCAATGAATAAAACGAAATGAATTCTATTCAAAGCATAATTGGCAGAAATATGAAATGTCGTCCGTTGCCGTTGCCATTGCCTTTGCCTTTGCCCAATACCCATATCCATGCTCCCTGCTTGTATTTTCCAGCTGCGATGGCCCGTAGTTCCTTTGCTGTTGCCTTTTGTCAGTGTCCGCGTCAGCGTCAGCGACAGCGAAGGAACGCCAAAAGTATTGTTGAGAATTGCATACGCGCGCAATTTTTTAATAAGTATGCCATGGATTGGTAATGGGAGTGGGGATGGGGATGGAGATGGAGATGGAGATGAAGGTGGTGTGGGTGGGTTGGCAACAGGGTCACATTCAATGCTTAATGGCAGTGGCAATAAGCAGGATAGCAATGCTCGGCAGAGTGCCACAAAATGACGCTGGACTGGTAAGCGAAAAAAGTGAAATGCGTAGCATGCAGCTTTCTATTGGACTGTATATTTGTGTGAAGGTGTGTGTGTGTGTGTGTGTAGCTCTGTGTGTCTGCGTGTGTGCGTGCAGCCGAGCGTAAGCAACCTGGCAACAATATCAATGCTTCGCCTTTTGTGCTGCGTTTGCTACAAAAGCGACGCAGCCAACTTGACTGCCAGCAGCAGTCGCTTCTTCTCGAGGTTCCCCCTCCTTACTTCCTCACCTCCTTCACACCAACCACCCGCTGACAATTGTTTGCCAGCGGAAGTTGATTTTCTGGCAGGCGGAAGTGTTGAAGCGTCGAGTGAGGAGGCTGCAGGAGGCCCTTGGAAGGGCGATTGTGGTGGGGGAGGGCGGATTGTGGGTTGAGAATGCTTTGAATTTCATATTTTTCGTGTCCTTTTTTGTCTAGCGGATTCGCATAAATTTCCATCTAACTGACAAAAGCATCAGGCTACTTTGTCTGTATGTGGACAGTTGGCGAATGGAAACTGCAAAGGGTAACAAGTAGGGGGTAGCAGGTAGCGAACATGAGGTGTGAATGCGGAGTTTTTGGCTACAAATTGTTAGCATAAGTTTTGCCCATAAGATTTAATTTCCAAGACTCTGCAAGGCAACAGAAAGTCAGCAAGAAACTTGGCCCTAAATGGAAAGGCAAGCAGTCTGGCAAGCGGCAGGCAGGCAGGCAGGCAGGTCGGCAGCGTAAGCCAATTAACTCTAATACCTGGCTGGCTGGCTCTGCAGTCGGCGTTTAAGTTGAGTGCTTACCTTGAATTGCAGCCGCACTTGCCGCGGGCTACGAGACCGACGATCGTTGCGGCCCAAATTAAGCGAATGGCCGATATGTTATGGTTATGGCACAAAGGTAGGGAACAATGCCTCGCGATCGAGTTCGTTGCTACCAAAGTCAGAGCAACTGACACTGACACTGATACTGATGCTGATGCTGACACTGACGCAGTTGCGATGAAACGGGCATCGACGCTGTTTACACGCCTGCTTATGGCACCTTGACTTTTGACGTTGTTCCTTATTTGCTTTTCAGTAACTCGTAAGTATACTACAAGTACTTGTATAAATTCACATACGCATAACAATTTCTTCGATCCATTAGTACGAGCATGCACAAACAGAAATTCTATTTTAATTACGCAGACGGCCTTTAGATTGGCGGCGATTTGCGTTTCAATTCGAATCGTTTCGTTGCGTTTCGCTTTTGTTTGTGCGCTTTGGAATGAAAAGCGGAAAACACACACGCGGCAAAGTGCGCGCCACAGTAAATACTACCCGACAGATAATGCGTTGCGATGCTATGCGTCGCCGCCACCGCGGTCGTCGTTTGAGACACCCACTGCACTGTCACTAGCGCCGCCGCTACCGCTGAGGAGGGCTGCGAGATTCGAGGAGTTAAGTGTGATAGAGAGAGAAAGAGAGAGAGGGAGCGCACTGCAAGCGTGTCGTTTGTTATTTATAGCTATTGGATGCTGCTTCTATCAGTAAGTAGTAAGTAGCAACAACATGCTATGTTTGTTGATGACTTCGGAAATAACGCTAAGCAACGCGATTTTCACAGACCGACTGACTATCTGAGTGGCTAACTAGCTGATAAGGGAGTGCACTCAACGATCAAACGAACGCCTAGATCAGGCGCGCTATTTTTTTGCCGCCAGATTACTAGAAGATCATTTGATCATTCAAAATAAAGTCTACAAAAAGCACAAAGAAGTATTCCCATCTATTGGCATCCGCTTTGAAAATTCAATTTGAAATTCATAATTTGTTTGTTTATTACACCAATTTTAATGCGGCACATGGACCACACCATACGTTCGAATTTAGATTCCCGCGCGCGTCCGTGTTCTTTAACAGCTCGAACTCAACTGAACAGCTACGATGAGGCAACGACAGCGACAACGACAACGCAGCATCAGCAACGAAAGCGCATTAAAGCCAAAGCTCGAGCGTGCTTCGTTAGCCTTCGGCAGATCCGAGACAGTGATGGGCTATGACGATGGCCGTTGTTGTCCTGGCAATCGAACAGGTTGTCGTTGCACACACCGTATTTGGGGCACTTAGCTTTTACTTCTGTCAAGCAAATCCTTTGTACAGGGACTCCAACATTCATTCCCACAGTATATATCCTGTACTCTTTAATATTTAATTCACATTAGATACATGTATCGTATATGTACTTATGATATACTCAAAATCTCCTTCATCCTTCCTTCCATCAGATAAACCATTATTACATTTGTGTTTTTCAAGAAAATTAACGACTAAGTGTTGAAACAGATAATTAAGATCTTATTTTAGAATAATTCTAAATACGTTTGAGAGTAAATTATGGCAATTGTTCCGTAATTTAAATTATACCGCGCTAGTCGAGCTGCTAATCTATTTAAATATGACCAGACAGCAGCATCCAGTGCTGTAAAGCGTTGCCAGGCACATATATCGATGAAAGGGTGGCAACGCTGCAAGCAATTGAAAAGCAAGAACCAATTGGGCAGCACTCATAAATAAACCGCTGAAATTAAATTTGTAAATTTTTGACAATACAATTTCTTTCTGAAAATTAATCTTTTGACTTTGAAATAAGTACGAACTGAAAGTCATCGGAAAAGACTCTGCGACCTTTTGTGGTATTTTGTGCTCTAATTTGCGTGCTCCCTGCAGGGACAAAAGAAGCTCCACTTTCCCTATGAATGAAAGCTGTTCTCCTGTCGGAGAATGCATAATTTGTGCAGAAGAAAAGAATTATTGGCGAAAATGCTATGGCTTGAGAGTAGTTCAAGAGACCCGGCGCGATTTTAGCGACCGTATTACTTCGTCGGCGAAGGCGAATTTGGTACTTTACCTAATGATGACTTTTGAGATAGCCGAAGGTTCTTCTCCAGGCAGGAAGCTCTTTAGCTTGACGTTTTCCTGATCTTCCATTCAGACTGCTACCTACCCCATTCTAGATCAACCCAAATGGGCATGTAAATACATGCCAATAACTGGATCAGCCAAGGCCGCAAAAGTTGTGGGTCGATGAACAGTTGACAAGTATTTTGGCAATAGCTTGAATTAAGCGAGTTTAGCAGGATTTAATAAAAAAAAGACAAACCGGACCTAGAACTGCTGTGTTCAAAGTCCCAATACGTGGAGAGAAAGTTTATCATTAGGATGAGGCTATGAGCTTTATGCCAAACTATAATAACTACAATAAAAACCTAAAAATTAGTTACATAACAGCGAAGTATGCATACTTTGTTACAATCGGATAGGAACAATACACCCACAGAGCAATCACTCCCCGTCTTTCCAAATACACCGTTATATCATCAGATGCTACATTAGATATGCTGCATTTAAAACGCTATACAGAACAAATACTTTTGGGACCAAAGTATAAACCTGACATAGAGACCGTTTTCTTAATACACAATTATTTCATAACTTTACGGTGATCGTATCGAATTTGTTTAACACAAATTGTAGCTACAGGTATATATAATGGTGCAAGAGTGTTGTATTTCTAGTGTTACATTCGCCTCATAGTGAATATCACCATCAATTGCGGGTAAATATTTTTAGTACTAGCTATAATATCCAAAGTTTTAAGTTTCAGTTCAGATTTTTAGCCCAAGTTCCATTCTTAGTAAAATAACAAAAATATCTTAAAAATTTCATAGACCTACGTGACCGAGTCACTGATCACAAAGGTTGGGGAGATCACAGTTTCTGAATATAAAATTAAATTAATTGAGATATTGATTTTACATGAGATTCTATGTAAAAAATGATTGATTTGAACATTTTCGACTGCTGGTGCTCTTTAAAACTCACCACAGTAAGTCACAATTTTTTAAGGGTGGAACTCATTTCGCTACCTGTTTGGAATCCTTTATTTTGCTCACTAATGCCATCTGCTCTCTCGATTCTATTTATAGCCAAACGGACGAAATATCACCTTCTTCAATAAAAAATAAACGCTATGTTCGCCAAACTTTTATTGCTGGCGGTCTTCTGCCTGAGCAGCGTCTTCCACTCACTCGCGCAGTGGCCCCCGGGATATTATTATCGTAACCCATCCCCATACGGTGAGTTCGAAAAGTGAATATAACATTGAATTTTATAGGCTGTATGGAGAGCTAGAGATATCAGTTCTTAAAGCTATCCCTATATCTTCTAATTATAGTTATTTATTTTACATAATAAACATATCTGGTGAGCTTCTAGTTATCATCTCAGCGGAGTAAAAATATATTCCATATACGAAAAGTATGAAGCAGCGCAGACAGATTCATTTGACACTTCCAATTCCAAACATATTCGAATACTCAATCGATCAATACATTTATTATTCTAATACTGCACTAATTCGCGTCATTTTTATACCCTGTACCCGTAGGGTAAAAAGGGTATGTTAGGTTTGTGCAAAGTATGTAACATACAGAAGGAAGCATCTCCGACCCCATAAAGTATATATATTCTTGATCAGCATGACGAGAGAAATCGATCTAGACATGTCCGTCCGTCTGTCCGTCTGGATGAACGCGAGGATCTCAGAAACTATAAAAGCTAGAATAACCAAAGTTGGCATCCAGATTCTCCTAGGTCCGAGTAAGGACGAGTTTATTTTATTTTTTTTAATTTTCCCCCCCTTCCCCCGCTACAGAATTTCGTCAATAGCGTCCACATTTCAAATGCTACCTAAATCAAACTTTGCACACATAATTTATATATAATTGTCTACTGTTGTATAAAATTTTATTCAATTCGGTCAATTCTAAGAAAAGTTATTAGCGAAACAAATTCTCGCCAGTACAACCCCCACAAACTGCAGCAAGTTCGCTCTTCTTCTTCCTCTTTTTGCTGCTGCTTTGGGCGCATATAACTCAGTGACGGAAGTTTACCTGGGTACAGGGTATTACACTGTCGGGCTTGCTCGACTGTAGCGTTCTCTCTTGTTTAATAAATAGTAATAAAATACCATTAAAGAAGACTTCATTGAAGATATACAAAGTATACAATTTTCTTTCAGCTGATGGTCGTTCTGATTACTTCAAGGATATTCGTCCTATTGGGCGATAAGCTTGACCTCCCTCTATACCTTGGAGACAGCTAATTGAATTTTTAAATATTGTTTCAAAACACATTTCCGGTAAATAAATAAAAGAACATTCTAAAAAAAAACAAAACGGCTCTTAAACAATAGATATTGTTGTGATTTCAAATCGGTGTACTATAAAAAGAGATACGGCTTTAATGGAGGTTTTGTTCGCAGGAAGGATCCTTCTGTGTTCAACTTACTGCTGGCTAGAGCGTCGTTTCATTACTATAAAAGGAGATACGGCTTTAATGGAGGTTTTGTTCGCAGGACATAACAATTTATATTTTATCCGTGCCCACCGACAATTAGAACGACAAATAAAAATTTTATTGTTTTTTTAATTTAATTTATTTTGAAAGTAAAATTATCGACACCGTAACTTATCGTTGTTGCCAAGAGAAGGCCACAGCTGAAAATTGCTGAAATTTGAACAAATTTCCGTGACCATACCACTTAATGATATTTGTCGACATATACTGATAGAAATGTACTTTTGAAATTATGTAAGAATTAAACAAATAAATCGACTTTCCAAATTTCGAAAATTGGTTAGGGATTACAATATTTGCGGCTTTCTGTTTAGCAATTTATTTACTCCCAGTTTTTATTGGCCCCTGACAAATGTTTAATATATATATATTTACGTATATTTGACACCAAACTAAAATACATGTCTTAAAACTACATCTACAAATACCTGGCTGATATTATATAAGCCAAAACTTGAATTCTTAAGGAAGTTCTTACACTGAGGAATGCTGATATTTTTAAATACCATCTTGATTTGTGCTTTTTTGTCAGATAACAGAATAATTATTTAAATAAAAAGTACATCTTGACAAATATATCGTAATTATCCTCTAAAGTATATACATTACTAACTTCTTGTTATTCGTAAAGCATTGTTCTCACGTCCAATGATGTTGCATAAGTTGGTCCATGGTACAACTATTTACTTACTACCTCCCTTTGAAAGGATTCTTATCTCTTACATTGGCGTGCCAAAAATATGAGACCGTTCCCACCATTTACAATAATACGCTCACAAAAAAACGAATCTTGTAGAAATTTCCTATTTAAAAGTTTTACCCTCCCCTGGGAAATATGATGCGAACGTAAATATTACAAAGAAAAAGATCAGACTATCTTTAATTTGAAATAAATTATTTTATTTTAATCAATTATGTATAGGCAGACTGGAACATTTTATATTACAGCGTTTTTGATATTTGTTGGTGCAAACCAATTTCGTTTTTAGATACGTTTCCATTAAATTATAAATTTAATTTGGCGAAACAAACATCTTAATCAGTCTCAACGTAAAATACATAAATAAATTGTAATACTTAATTTTATGTGCTACGACTATACTTGAAAGCTAACCCCCCGCCCCTAGAACTGTATGACAGCTCGCTTAGTCCACCTCCTCCACAGTAGGACCATTGTAGCTGGCTCCCCCGAAACCTCCCGACTGTTGACCGCAGTTGGCAGCGTTCGGCTGACCACCCGCCTGATGCATTTTGGTCATTATGGGCGAGCAATGCTGTGTCAGCTCCTTGAGCCTGTACTCGAACTCGTCCTTCTCGGCGGTGGTGTTCGTATCCAACCATTTTATGGTCTCGTTGCACTTCTCCAGCAACGAGGATTTGTCGCTCTCGCTGAGTTTGTCTGCACTGGCTTGTTCCGCAGCCTGCTTCACGCCAAAGACATAGCTTTCCAGACTGTTGCGTGCCGCTATGCGCTGGCGGTGTTTCTCATCCTCCTCGGCGTAGCGCTCGGCTTCGTTCACCATGCGGTCGATCTCCGCCTGCGACAGACGACCCTTGTCGTTCTTGATCGTGATGTTCTTCGCCTTGCCTGTACTCATCTCCTTGGCCGTCACATTCAGGATGCCGTTGGCGTCCATATCAAAGGTGACCTCGATTTGGGGCACGCCACGAGGCGCTGGCGGAATTCCGGAGAGGTCGAATGTGCCCAGTGCGTTGTTGTCGCGCGTCATGGCACGCTCGCCCTCGTACACCTGAATGGAGACACCAGGCTGGTTGTCCGCATACGTGGAGAAGGTCTTGGTCTGCTTGCAAGGTATGCGGCAGTTTCGTTCAATCAACTTCGTCATTACGCCACCGGCGGTTTCAATGCCCAAAGATAGTGGCGCCACGTCCACAAGCAGCACGTCCTGGATCTTGCCACTCTGGTCGCCGCTAAGAATGGCAGCCTGCACTGCGGCTCCGTAAGCCACAGCCTCGTCGGGGTTGATAGACAGGTTCAGACTCTTTCCGCAGAAGAATTGCTGCAAAAGGCTCTGAACCTTAGGAATGCGTGTGGAGCCACCGACCAGCACAATATCGTGAATTTGCTGCTTGTCCATCTTGGCGTCGTTCAGCGCTTTCTCCACTGGTGCCAGTGTCTGGCGGAAGAGGTCGGCGCATAACTCCTCGAAGCGGGCGCGGCTCACCTTCGTGTAAAAGTCCTGGCCCTCGAACAATGCATCTATTTCAATGGTAGCCTCAGTGCTGGACGAAAGCGTCCGCTTCGCACGCTCAGCTGCTGTTCGCAGACGTCGCAGTGCACGTGGATTGGAGCGCAGATCCTTCTTGTACTTGCGCTTGAACTCGTCGGCCAAATGGGTCACCAGGCGGTTGTCAAAGTCTTCGCCACCCAGATGAGTGTCGCCGGCAGTAGCTCGCACCTCAAATAGCGAGCCCTCGTCGATGGTCAGTATGGAGACATCGAAGGTGCCACCGCCAAGATCAAATATCAACACATTTCGCTCTCCCTTGAGGTTCTTATCGAGGCCGTAGGCGAGAGCTGCAGCCGTCGGTTCATTGATAATTCGCAGGACATTCAGGCCGGCAATGTGGCCTGCATCTTTGGTGGCCTGGCGCTGGGAATCATTGAAGTAGGCGGGAACTGTGATAACGGCGTCTGTGATGGTCTGTCCCAGATACGCCTCTGCTGTCTCCTTCATCTTCGTGAGTACCATGGAGCTGATCTCTTCCGGTGCAAACCTTTTCTGTTCGCCCTTAAACTCGACACCAATCTTCGGCTTTCCACCTTCGCTGATTACCTTAAATGGCCAGTGCTTGATGTCCTCCACAATTTTGGGGTCGTCATATTTGCGGCCAATCAATCGCTTCGCATCGAAAACTGTGTTCTTTGGATTCATTGCCACCTGGTTCTTGGCCGCGTCGCCGATGAAGCGCTCAGAGTCTGTGAATGCCACATAGCTGGGCGTAGTGCGGTTGCCTTGGTCGTTGGCAATAATCTCCACCTTTCCGTGCTGGTAAACACCCACGCAGGAGTACGTGGTGCCCAAGTCAATACCAATAGCAGGCATTTTGGTTTTCCTTGCTTCTTTACTTTACTTTTCTTCAAACAGTTAAACGAAACTTTGTGTTGCTGAAGTTCAATTCTTTTTCAACGTTGTACTTTTTAGCTTTATTTTATTTAATTATTTCACTTGTGGATGTAAACGCTTTGGTTTAAATATTTTTTTCGCTTGGTTGCCTTCTTCTTGCTTAGCTTTCGCTTCACGATGTGTTTGCTTTGATTGCTTGATTTCAATTGTGCCGAAGAGAAATTCAGTGGCCCTATTTATACTCGGGCGGTCTATAGTGGAAATTTCGAGACCCGCTCTTCGAGAAGCTACTCGATTATCCGGAATATCTGTGCGCGTGCGAGCGGGATGACTATAGGTTCCTTTTGTGGTGGCGAGTGAGAAGGTAATTTTAAGAGAGGGAGAATGCTTGTTTTAACAAACTAGCACAGAAATCAAATAAGTGTAAAGAAATTTCTAGAATCATTCGCTACTTTGTTGTTGTTGCTTGAATATCAACAAAATCTTCGACCTACCATAACAAATACAGTGAGCTCAGCCTGTTGAAGATATTTAAACTCTTCTTAGTAAAAATATTTTTCGTTATGTTGGAGTTCAACATAAACAAGAAAGGAATGCTAAAGTCGAGCAGACTCAACTCTTAAATACACAGGGTATACCACCTCACAAAAAAAATATTATTAAAAAAATTTCATGAATTTAATTAATAATATAAAATAATTAATAATTAAATAATTAATAAATATAAAATATTCCATACATTTTTTTTTATTTATTTAGTAACAGTTCGGCTCAATGTAAAATGTACAGGCGAACAAATATTTAGCTATAGCTACGAGGCCTTAAGCTAGCATTAAATAGCAATTAAGGATATTTAAATTTGTTACATATAAATATATAGGACGGGGCTTAACTTATTTGTATGTACAAATTATGTTATAGGGTATTACTATTGTTCAGGTATCGGATTATCGTTTCTATATTAGGGGGATTGAGATCAAAAAGGGATTGGACGGGGCTTATTGTGGGGAATAGAGAATTTCTTATAGGTTGTAAGTGTGGGTATTCCGACAGGAGATGTTGAACCCAAAGGGTACAAGGGTATATTAGTTTTGTGCGAGTGCACATGGAACACACAGAAGGAGGCTTGGTAGACCCCACAAAGTATATATATTCTTGATCAGCATGACAAGACTAATCGATATAGCCATGTCCGTCTGTCTGTCTGTCTGTCTGTATGAACGCAAGGATCTCCGAAAGTATAAGAGCTAGAATAACCAAACTTGGTATACAGATTCTCCTGAGCCCGAGAAAGGACGAGTTTGTTCATTTTTTCTGATCCAACCCCCCACTCCACCCTATTAACGATTTTCTATAACTCCCGTAATTCTTGGAATTTTGAACTAAAATTTGATAGTCACATTAAGTTGGTATATATCCGTATACCAAGTTTCATTATGATAGAATGATTGGAAAAAAAGTTATAGCCATATAACCAGGCCCAATGCACACATGCATACATATGTACAAGTACACAAACACGCATAAGGCACGATTCTGATGTAAATGTAAATATATGTATGCATGCATGGAATATTTTATATTTAATTTAGTTAATTAATTAAATTAATTTAGTTAATTAATTAAATTAAATTAATTAAATTAAATTAATTAATTAATTAATTTAATTAATTTTAATAGTAATTGTAATTTTAATAGTAATTGTCTTATGGCAGATGTGTAATATGAAG